ACACATTGTCCTCCAGCAGTTTTCCTAACCCATCTCCAGGGATTAACTGTAGCTTTGCAAACAATGCCACGGCCACGTCACAGTCGCCACATGCCACCACACTGCACTGGCGTTTTGTCATGGAGTAGCCAAGGTTTAACCCAATGAGATTTCCAGTGTGGCCAAGTGAAGCTGCAAGCAATGCTGTAACCACATGCAGTCATCTCCAGCTCTTACCACGAAGAGCTACAGTCAAAGTGCCTCCATGTCCACAGGGAGGGAAGCGACTGGCCCCAGTTGCTGCTGCCAGACGGTGGCAACGGACAACCCCAGCCCCGCACCAGTAGCCCTACAAGCAGTGGCCCCCCAGCAAAACCCCCTGCATGCCCTCCCCCTTGTCCTTCGAGGTGTCTCTTAACTGGGGATCCTATGGCAAGTTAAAATAGAGCTGGAAGCAGAGTGCTGCCTCACTATCGTCCTCCAGCAGAAACACAAACCAAAACAAATGCATTTCATTTGCTTTTATTTAATTTAAAAAAAAAAAGTCAAAGTCATTGCAATCCCATTTAAATACAGAGATTTACAAATAGGTCCAAAACAGGACTAAAATATTCTTTGAAATGCTGTACTTTAAATATTGTGCTTTCATAGATACATAAGAAAATTAGCATATAAAAATACTTTACAAGGAATACACTCTAATATATGGATAAAAATACACATTTAAGTAATGCATTTCATCTTCATATCATTCAAAATGCATAGGAAGGGATACAAGGACCAAGTTTTTCTTCCTTTTTTTTTTTTAAAGCCTTTAATAAAAGTCTTCATTAAAAACCTATAAGAAGCCCCAGTGAGCTTCCACTGCTCATAATATTGCATATAAAAACACTTTCGGCTGCACTGTTGATGCTCCACAGTATCAATTATGGCACATTATCTAGTTGTGGCAGCAATGGTATGGGATATTGCATACTCGAAGAGAAAATGGCTACAACAACAAATAGCTGGATGGGGCCAGGCACGTGTCTCAGAGAAACACACTGATACGTGGCGCTATCGCAGAGGGACAGAGTCGCAAAGTGGCTCGGGGACGGATGGTGGGGGGACAAGTCCTGGCTCAGCAAAGCGACAAACGTGTGGCATACACCCATCCAACACCCTACACGCAGCACCAGCACACAGGCGGTGATGGCAGAACCAAAAGCGTGAGTGGGGAATGGGGGCGGTGGGCGCCGGGGCTGCGGGTCCCCGACTGAGTGAGCTCCTTGTCTCCGCCATGCCTGAGCCTTCCCAGGAAAGCGACGCCAGGTTCACGCCACCACCAGGACACGAACATCATCATAAAGTGCTAATACATGAAACGTGGCAGGCAGATGAGGAAACTGATGCAAACATCACAGCCCCTCTTCCCCGCAGCGCTGGGAGCTTTGGGGAGGGAGGGGAGCGACGACGGGGCATCATGCTTGCCAAGCCACAGGGAGGCCAGCGACAGGCGAAGACGGCGCGTGGACCAGGCGCGAGCAGCTGAACCTACGTGGGCACACACACACCGCCCAGCCCACGCAGGACACAGGACACACAACCTCCATCTAATGAAGGGTTTCTCATGCCGCTGCCTGATGGGAGACAACAAGGTGTTACTAATTCAAAACATCAGGGACAGCCCTGGGAAGATTGCTTTTCTGCCATTTACTTGCGGGAACAGGCCAGGTTTGCAAGCAAGAGATCTCCATAAAGCCCAGACGAACAAGGTGGCCGGGGATTTGGGCAAGTGTTCAAGGCCTTCAGGCATGGGTACGGCCTTCTGCTCTGTAATAACTACGCCAGCACAGGTAACCACATTGCTCATGGGAATTGATGGGGAGACGAGGTGCCTCATCCCACCGCGGGCGAGCCAGCCCTGGCGGGAGAGTGCGGACGGGGCTGGCAGGAGGCAGTTGCAAATATCAATTTTTGAACAAGAATTGCATCTAGCCACTCTCAAGCACATTTTGAAATGTCTTTTAAACAGGGCTCTCCACAGCCCTGCACCAGCAGTACAAGGGGCTGCGGAAATCTATTTATCAGGAGTGTTTAAAGGATGGAGCTGGGCACAACAGAAAAGGAAAGGCGTTTCAGTCTTGCTGTATGAGATTAACCGAGCAAACAAGAAACATAATAGCACCATGTGTGTTTATAGGATGGTCAAGGCCTTCAGGGTGAGGAGGGTGTCGGAGGCAAGTCCCCACACACCCCAGCGGCTGGGGTGCGGGGGGATGCCCTGCCATGGGGGATGGCTGTGGATGCTCCTTCCTCCCGTCGGCAGCTCGTCCCATCACCGGTGCTGCCCACGGCCTGAGATGCGCATCCAGCCCTGACCTTCCCAGCAATATTTGGCGGTCTACAGGCAACAGCTCAACTGAAGATCCACCTCCCCACTTGCAGGTTATGGTACACACAGCATTTACAAATACCAGTGCAAAAAACAGGAAAAACACCCCAAATACCACAACAGCTCAGCAGAGGCCCTGGGCACCATCTGCTCTGCTCCCGCTGCTCAGAGTGTCTGGATGCTTGCCTTGACCTCGGCACCACGGGCCACCTGTGCTGGCAGCTCTCTGTTCCCCTCCGGGGGAGCGTTGGCAGCCAGTGCCAAGGGGTTTCGGCTAATCACCAGGTCCAGCTTATCTCCAGCCTCCGAAATCAGGGGAACAGCCAGACAGCAGTCAAAGTCTCTCGTTCGGATGCGGTTTACCTGCCGGGATGGATTTAGGACATGCCATGGGGAGGAACAACAGAAAGACCATGTTTGTTAGTCAGAAAATGCAAGGCTGGTGCTAAACCCACACCTGTGAAAACACACGACTCTTGGGGGTCCCTGATTCCAGGTTCGTGGAAGAGCAGAGCAGGGGCACCCCTTCAGGCTGAGCACATCCTTGCTTAGCTGAGAAATGATACAATAACTGGTACAGGAAAGAGCAAAAAAAGTCTGGATCAGGCATAAACCCTGACCCCTGGTGTCTGGGGCAGTATTACAACTGCAGGGCTCAAAACCAATTATCTGGTTCAAGCCTGTAGGAGAAAGGTTGCCATTTTCCTTGATTTTTTTGCCATCATGGCTTTTACTCGCCTTAAATCTGTGATGTGGGGTATTCAGCACCTAGAAAACAAATACAGCTCAGACCCTGAGGCTTCTGCCAACCATTTTCCAGCTCAGCCAGCAGTAAATTGAAACTATACTGAACAGTTTTTGCTTCTCCTCTCTCCTCCATTTACATCCTTCATTTCAGAGGAGTCTGGTTGCATTTCACATGGGCTCAGAAGGTGGCTGCAAATTCTCTCTGCAGGATTCAGCAGTGAAAGGACTTTTACTGCTGTCTCTTACAGACCTTCAAGCACATTTCTAGGCTGGGTCACCTGCAAGAACCACCCCAGCTCTCTTGCCTACAGCTACCAGAGCACCTGGGCTTGGTGCCACAACAGCTCTGGGATGGAGGGGGCTGGCAAACAGCATGGGGAGGGGAAGCAGGGAAGGGAGAAAGGAATTTCCCACCCACCTTTAGAGCGAACATAACCCCTGGGGCCAGGTGTTGCTTCCTTTTCTGGGTAAGCGCTGGATGAGTCCATGCAACCCTTCCATCCAAAACCCTTGCCCAGCATCAATGCATGCCCACAGAGCTGGGCTCTGTGACAGTAGCAGTGTCCCCCTGCCCTAGCTGGTGTCCACACAGTTGACCCCAATACTGCTCCTTACAGTGTCATAACTAAGGGCAATCCCTAGACCTCACGTGGACAAGAAGAGATAAGCCAGGAGCTTGCTCTGCCTTTGCTGTATGCCATCCAGGCAGTTCCAGTGCAGAAGTGCCATTAGTGCAACGCTGTGCTCCAGCTAATCCATCCAGCTGAGAGGCAGAGGGTCTGTTACAGCAGGGACGAGGTGTTTCGCTGGTCTTCAGGCACATCATCATGTCCATAATCAGCAGCACTGTGAAGCATCCTCAGCAATGCATCTCTGTACTTCTTGCCGGGAGTTGCCTGTACCAGGTCTGCAATCCATCATTCACAACTCCACATGTCAACACGATGGCAATCGCCCCGTCTTCTTGTAGGTGTAAGCCATGCGGCACAGCATGTGGAAAGGGGGTGTTGAAAGTCTCCACAACGCTCTGTTTCGGATTTCAGGCACACCTCCCAGAGCACTTGGCACTCGCAAAAAGCGACCCATCCAACATTCAACAGAAAGGCAGCCCAGAGCCTAATTAGCTTCTTGTTCATTCTTGCACCATCTTTTATTTGAAGCCGAGAAGGAATAATTGTATAGCAGCCAACTGGCTGGAGACCGTAACAAGCTTAAACAAGGTTCCCCACAGCGCTGCCAGTTCTCCAGTTACCTGATGTACATAATATATTGGCTCTAATCCTACTGCTAACAACCCCCGCCTAGAAATTAGTAAAATTAAACATCTTTCTGAGTGTTTCCAAATATGGTCACAATATCTGCATTTCCAAATGGTGGCAATTTTTCCATTGGGGTTGCACTTCTTCAGTTGCTGTTTGAGTTGCCCCAAAGCTAAAATAGTTCTTTTTCATCCATATAAAGTTCTTCTCCAATCTCCAAAACTCACCGTGCTCTTCCTGTCCCTCTGGTAGTCTGAGAAGCCCAGGTCACATTTATCACAGACACTGCTTTTGACCAGAGTTTTTATTCTGTTTCTGCATCAGCTATTTCAGATTAAGTATCTTTCAAAGAAAAATATCCATGAAAAACACTTTGCTTGAGGGATGTGTTTCCTAGAAAACTCTTTCAGTTGTCAAAGGCATGCACAGAACTCCATGAACACCACTAACTCCACATGTGGCTTTGCAGGAACACATATTGGTCAATACAATCTAGTTCATCCAAAAATCACCCTCTTACGTGATAGGAAAAGGACTGAGGGTGAGAGGGGGAAGCAACACAGCTTTTCAGTTGTTTTGAGCTGCCCAAGCTCAAAAAGACCAGTGGCAGGCAGGCTGTGTCCTGGAATAAGTACAACCTAGGGGTACCACCCGGGGGTACTACCTAGTGATTTGTCATTATAAAACACAGGTCCCATTGATAGCTTGGTGGCTAAGTGCTCACCTAGTTGGCTAACTATTACCTTTCATTAAAGTTAGTGCTGCCATGGGTGGGTCTCACTTCTCTCTTCCTCTCAGCCACTCATTCACTCCGTCCCAGCCTCCAGAACTGCATTTTGCATTTATTACCTGAAGCACTCTGTCATATGGCTTGAGGCCACACTGATCTGCTGGCCCATCCGGACGGACCATATTTACATAGACACCTTTTTCTAACAGGCCATCCGACACACTGAATCCAAAGTCTTCGCTCTCCGGGTCTTTGTGGAGTGTCATCTGGAGGGACGGAGACAGAACACATGTTTTAATGCAGCAGAGGCAGGAGGAGATGTACAGGGTTGGCAGGACAGGAATAGCATAGGTAATGTATGTGGACTTGCAGCAATTCTGCTCTGGGTCTCCCGGGCAGATATTTTCTTAGCCTGGGCAGCTAATAGAGATTGAGCCTTATTTACCAGACACCATCAGCTTAGGTAGATTGCATGGACAAGTGCTTTGGTGACCGGCATATAACCAACCACACAACAGTCCCTCTCCCTTGGATGTGGAAGGAAACGCAAGCAGTGTAATACAGACAGCTGCCGTATTTCACCCAAGGAGCAACAAAGCAAGTGTTATTAATGGAGGCATCACCTTCTCTGGCCCAGGTTACACTGTGCATCCTCTGTGTATGCCAGACCAGCACATGAAAAATCAACACGTTCACGGGGAATTTTCAATGTAGTGTGTCAAATGTGAAGACAGG